AAATGAAGTATTTCCCACAAAGAAGTGAAAATGATCAAATTGTTAGCCCCTTATACTTAAGACCTTTCGATGATAAGATTATCATTTCCTAAGTTAAAAAACTACGTTAAAAATATTTTTATTGAAAAGTCATATTACAAAATTGAAGACTACGTATTAGATAAAGATGCATGGAAAGACGAGACGGCTCTAAATGCCGCACAAATTTGATTCAAAGTGTATAACATAGCATTTAAGTTTATTTGAAAAGAGCAATGCCTAGAGTTTCTTGCTCGTTCTTCTCAGGGAAGTCAGCATAGTGAACGAGCAACAGCTTAAATCAATATGGTGCGGTGCACGCTTGGATTTGTACGTGCCCCACTACACATTAAGAATTATAATAATTCGCGACTCGCCCTGCAATAGCCGCTGCGCGTAATTGACTATGGGTTCTCAACAACTCTTAGCCAATGAACTGCTGACGTTCATCCAACACGCCATCGACACTATGGACGAGGTCAGCATCGTGCAGATCTGCAAGTCAAACTTCAAAGAAGAAGAGGTTTGCAGTAGCAAGGCTGTTTTTCCGCACGATGCCATGTCGCCGGAGGGATGGAGGAGCGAAGAGTCTCCAGGACATTATTACGCTGTTTAAGGAGGCCGACCCAGACGACGTGCCTGCTTTCGTGGCGAAGGAGCTGCACAAGCTGCCCCCTGTCACTTTCGACCATGTCGACGTCACCAGGCTGCTGAAGGACATCACTTCCCTAAAAGCAAGCCTTGCTGAACTTCGGTGTAAATTGGAGGCCTCGGAGAACACCATCAGTGATTTACGTCCCTAAGTTGTATTACTTACCTAGTAACGCAACGTGAATACTTGTCGCGGGGCGGAAAACGCATCTATCGGCAGTTTTGAGTCGGCTCATATGGATGTGTCACCGACCGCTGCCGCTGTCGCCGCGCGCGTTTCCCCGCGTCCCGCCCCTCGTTTACCTACCCAACCCACTGCTCCACAACCATAACCCAGGCAACCAACGGAGGGGAAAAAGAAAAAGCGGAAACTCATCTCTGGAGCTGTGTCGTTAGTACCACCGAGAGGAGTAGACCACTGCGACGAGAACCGCTTCAAAAAAGTGGAAAAGAAAAAGAAGTACACTAGACGTAACCTTAGTGGCACCGCCCCGTCTGGCCCCAACCATCTATTGCGTCCAGCGGTACCGACGACGTTGCTATACGTGTCACGACTTCATTACTCCACAGTCTGCGGATATAGTAGAGTACATACGGGTGAATGCCAAAGCAGCCCTGAGGGTCGGGCAGTTGCGAGTCCCTCCACAAGGTGAATTTTAATTCATTTGTGGTGAGAGTACCAACACAACACCTGTCGACCTTCATGAAAGAGGACTTTTGGCCGAAGGGTGTCATGTTCCGGCGTTTCCGAGGACGGCTATCGGACACCCACGTTGTGTCACACGTCGCGGTCCATACGTGTAAATAAATAAATTGTTTTTATCATATTATTATGTATGTTAGTGTATAAGGTATGTGTTTTATGGGTCTTTTGTGACCTGAAAATAAATAAATAAATAAAATAAAAAAATAAAAATTAAATGTGATGTTTTCAAGCGTAAATTTCTTTTACGTATGGGTAAATTATTCTTTGACTTTGACGTTGGCATGTCGAATAAAATCGGTTCAGGAAACATTGGTCAAAATTACTAATAGATACAAAACAAGAAACAAAAGCAAAACAGCAAAGATCTGTGTACAGTTAAACTAGCACGTTTGCGGCTTTCGTAGGTCAATCGGTTACGGTTTAATTCATTGTTAGCGGCGACTGTTTTGCTTAGTTATTTGTAACACCACAGCGTGTAGCCTTCCTTTTTCAGGTCAAGATCTCTAATAATATGTTGGTACAATAGTTTTCCATTTAATAATTTAAGAAGATTTTTATGTATGAATAATTTTGGGCGTTTTGCATGTTTCTAAAAGTTCACGAATCATTCAACATTTGGTAATCTCGTTGACTCAGCGGTTAGTACTGTCGACCCTAAATGAGGATGTCCCGTTGATTTTCGTTGGAAAAGGAAGTTTTCTATATGTTTCTAGTTTAAATTTTCTGGTTAACAGTCTATACTACCTTAAATGGCTATGGTTGATTCCGCATAACAGTGAAAGTATTGTATCAATCACTTGGAAAAAATATATAATAAACTTGAGGATGTACTGATTACTATTGAAAACTCGATTCCTAAAAATTTTCACGATAGACAAAAACACAAATGTAACTCGAAATTTTACTAGAAAACCGCTGTAGTCAATAGGTGTTTTACATAGGTACTGGTATACCAATGATTTTTTTTAATATCAACTGAACTAAATAGAACATGTATAGTATACGATGTACATTTTTTCTGAAATAAAGCCAGTGTCACTGTCGCTCGACCCAAGCAAAATGAACCCTATTAGTTCCGGAAAAATTTTAATTCGTAGTGTCGACTCTTAAATCAAAATGTAATCTACATATTTTGTCCGTTTTGCTTTGTTACTATGAAGACTGTATTATTTTTACTGTTTGCATTTGTATTATATTATTGTACCTTTTACACCTATTTTCACTTACTAAATTTGAAAATGGAATATTATCTGTAATCAGTACACTATTCGAATTTTAAATGTAATACAGTTCTTGTCACGGTGCTTTATGAATATTATATTATTGTCATGGAGAACTAAATGTTTGCATAACGAGTGAACATATTCGATCTCGAGCCTATATTGTACATGCCTCGTTAGACCGAGGTAGCAAATGGTTTTCTGTAACTGACAGGTGACATGCGAGCTAAGATTCTACCTCTTACATGGGAAGTACTTACAGTTGTCATTTTATTATATTATTCAATGTATACTTAAATAAAAACTTATCTATTGGTTTTCTTAACGCTGGACAGTGAGAAAAGTATAATATCATTGATGCTGGGTCTCTTGGCACCCGTCACGACAAATTTCATGCGATGATATGATATACAATTTTCAAACGGCTTTAAATTTCGTTTGTAAAAAAAATTAATTCTGAAATAAAGCCAGTGTTCATGCTGCTTGATCCAAGCAAAATTAACCGTATTATTACGAGAAAGATTTGAATTCTAGCTGAGGTAGTATGGACTCTTAATGTCCGGACTTTATAATTATTAATACAAACATCGAACACAAGTACAAATTTCATCTATACAGGTGGACTCGAACCAGCGACCTCGCCATACGGTGCCTGGCTCTTTCTCAATCGTGACTGGCGCTCTCCCAACTGAGCTACGGAAAGGCCTGGCTTTAATTTCGCTGCTCTAGTGCAAATTCCCTAATTTGAGAGCGGGTGTGATTGTTATTATCAAATTCAAATTCAATTCAAATTCAAAATAATCTTTATTTCATAGGTAAGCATTATTACACTTGAAATCGTCACAATATAACTCTACCGCTCATTCGTAAGGCAGATTCCCCTGAGAAGAATGAGCAAGAAACTCTAGGGGTTGCTCTTTGTAAATAACATTTACAATATTTTTTTTTTTTATTTGAAACATCAGAGATCGAGACTACCTCCATGAGCTAAACGGGTTACTACCACGGATTTTTGTCATCCAAGTACGCAGAAGTTGTATAATAACCTTTAGTATAAAGTTTTTGTTTCACTATAGTTTTAAACCTCGTGAAAGGCAAATTTTGTATATCAACCGGAATCTTGTTATAGAAGCGTATACATTGCCCCTTAAATGATTTTTTGACTTTG